CCTGGTCTGAACGTAGTGTGTCCTGGTCTGAACGTAGTGTGTCCTGGTCTGAACGTAGTGCGTCCTGGTCTGAACGTAGTGCGTCCTGGTCTGAACGTAGTGCGTCCTGGTCTGAACGTAGTGCGTCCTGGTCTGAACGTAGTGCGTCCTGGTCTGAACGTAGTGCATCCTGGTCTGAACGTAGTGCGTCCTGGTCTGAACGTAGTGCGTCCTGGTCTGAACGTACTGTGTCCTGGTCTGAACGTAGTGTGTCCTGGTCTGAACGTAGTGCGTCCAACTGGAGGCGTTGGGCGCTTTTTTTCTGCTCAAAATGCGTTCTGTGTGAACGTAGCATAAGGAGGCGAGGGGGCTGTGGGTCAAACACATGGTACGGGGAGGGATTCAGTGAAACCGGTGACGTTTAAGGTAGATACTCTGTGCAGGAACCAGTCCAAGACCAGGACCCGCTAGAGTCCAGAGACCAGATCTCATCCTCCCAGGCTCAGTCCCAGAGTTCAGGGTTTCCCCTTTCTCGGTCACAACAGCCTTCAGACTGGTCCACATGGATGATACGGGGATAGGGAGTGGAGAATCAAGCCTTTGTTGTCGTATCATCCAGGGAAGTTTTGATAACTTCCGACCTCAAGGTCAGCAGCTGCAGGGATCCGAAAGATAAACATCATTGTTTTGGGTCAAGCGGCCTTGAATTTCTTGCCACTTTAAGTCTTAACTGCATCTCTGAAATGGTGGGAAAAAATGCAGAATGTTTAGAATTTCATCACCTCCTCGCCTCTCTTTCCGTCTGAAACTTCACCCAGGTGTAATCCTACTCCTCATGGGCACGCTACTTCTCGTCAGAATCACATCCAGTTTGCAACTTATTTCCCCCAGCATCTGAGTCTGTGCTTTACCAGTACGGGAGATTCAATCCAAGGTTCCTGACAGCTTCTCACAGGTCTGGACTGCTGTCAGGATCACTTTCATTTTCCTATAAGCCAGAACTCCTTCACAGCCGATCAGCAAGAATCCAGTTATCATAAATCCAAATATGTGCAAATCTTCCATGTCTTCAATGGAAAGCAAGGCCAAACAGATGATGTTTAGAGTTGATGGTGTTGAGGTTTACAGAGTGAGATGAAGTGTTTTGATGTTCTGTTTCAGGCTGTGTGTTCTCTGTTCTGCAGTTGTTTCAGCCAGTCTGGAGGAGTCCCTGGCCAGCTCAGCTCAGGCCATGCTGCAGGCTATTGGAGCTCAGGAGGCGGCGCTGCAGGCCATCAGCCAGCACACACAAAAACTGAAGGAGGCCATGGAGGCAGAGGTGCTGACTGCTGTTCTTTGATAACCACTTACACCTCACAGAGTCATTGTAACTCATGATGCATTCACAGGGCTGAGAAAAGATGACGTGGGCTAAAGCTCCTGAAACATCAGTTCATGGTTTGATTACAGAGAGTTAGGACTAAACAGGATCTGCTCCATTGTACAACCAGAATTATGTTGATCAGAGCACAAACATGAAGTGGATTATAACAAAATATACTAGTTTGGATTATCAAAAAAAACACATGAACATTTCACTCTCATATTAAGACGATGAACCATAATTAAATGCCTGTTTTATTTTGTCTTAATCTGACTGTTTTATATGTGCAGAAGATTTGTGATAAGTAATCTGTTTAACTGTCTGCTGCAATGAAATCAGACTGCGTGTAAATAAAAATGGTCTTGGTGATGTTTCTGTAACCAGACGTTTAACAGCACGTTTAAAGGCAATAAATAAAAAATAGTGTTAAATATGAATTTGTTTGATTAAATCCAGGCTCCGTTTGAAGAGAAATCAGCTCAGTGGAAGAATCTGGAAGCTGCTCTCGTTGATCGAACAACTGCTGAGAAAGATGCCAGAGCTGCTCTTCAGAAAGCAAAGTAATGCACACACACACAGTCTGGTTTGTATATCCCCGTGGGGACCGTGCATTAACTTGCATTCTTTTTTTTTTTTTGTGGAAATTTTATAGCCTAACCCTGACCATTTACCCTAAAATTAACCTTACAATTAACCTGACCCTAAAATTGACCTAAACTCGAGTCACACCTTGGTCCTAAACCCAACCCCCACCCGTAATTTGCATTTGTACCCGTGAGGACCGGGCTCTAATAGTCTAGTAGACTCTAATAGCGCCCCGTATAGATGGACCTGTTTGATTGTTTTCCCCCTACATGCCTTAGTTATTAGCGGTGTAACAATACAATCATCCATGTCGATATATCGATTAAATGGTTAATGATTATATCGAGGCAAAATGAAAAGCTCATCCAACACAGTCATTGTGTTAGATGGGCTGATGATATCGCATTATATGGATCGCAGACGTGAATTGAACTGAATGGAAATCATATCATTACAGACTTTGTGATATCGACAAATATTGAATCTTCTTTCAAATAAATTGATAAAATATTGTATCCTGATAAAGCTGGTGATTTAAACCCCTGTTAGTTACCACCATGTTAATATCTTATAAATAAACCTTTGGTTTGAGCTGCAGTATGAGTTTTACTGATGAAAGAAAAATAAATAATAAAATGAAAGGGTTCCACCACACATCAGAGACAGTGAGGGGTTTAATGTCTGGCTCAGGGACACTTTGTCTGCGTACAGTCAGGAATCAAACCTTTGACTCTCTGACTGCTCAACCCACTGATTATATTGAGCCTACACAGAATACCCTGAAAAATTATCATATTTATTCATGTATAATATGATCTCCAGTACAATACGGCCATCATTTTTTGATCTTACAAAGCATAAGATCTAATTATCAATAACCTTTGTATAATACTATCCCTCCACTTTATGAATGATTTTTAGGGTTAAATTACTAGTATTATACATGAATAAATATAGTAAGTTAAATGGAGAAAAACTTGGGACTTAAGCAGCTGGCTGTACTAAAAGGTGACACAGATATTCTTTCTATAATTGTTCTGTGTTTTCTTACAGTGAAGTCTTGGACGGTCTGAAGTCTGTGATCCAGAAGTCCAAAGATCTGAAGCTCAGAGAAGCACGTCCTCTGATTTTGGCCGCAGAAGAGAATCTCCATAAAATGGTGGTGGACTTGGACAAAGTGGTCTCTAAGGTAAGGCTGTTGTAGTAAATGATCTCTGGTGATCGTCCTGTAACTGAACCCTGACAGAAAGTTTGTGATCAAATATGCAACAACTGAACACAGAAAACACAAAAACACATTGCACCTATGAAAACAAGGGCTGGGTATCAATTCAGATTTCCCAAAATGATTTGTTTCGATTCACAACGATTCAGTGATTCACAACGATTCACAGTGATTCACAATGATTCAGTGATTCACAACGATTCACAACGATTCACTGTGATTTGCAACGATTCACAGTGATTCACAATGATGCACAGTGATTCACAATGATTCACAGTATTCACAACGATTCACAGTGATTCACGATTCACAACGATTCACAAGGATTCACAGTGATTCACAAGGATTCACAGTGATTCACAGTGATTCACAACGATTCACAGTGATTCACAACGATTCACAGTGATTCACAGTGATTCACAACGATTCACAACGATTCACAGTGATTCACAACGATTCACAACGATTCAGTGATTCACAACGATTCACAGTGATTCACAACGATTCACAACGATTCACAGTGATTCACAACGATTCACAAGGATTCACAGTGATTCACAACGATTCACAGTGATTCACAGTGATTCACAGTGATTCACAACGATTCACAGTGATTCACAACGATTCACAGTGATTCACAACGATTCACAGTGATTCACAACGATTCACAACGATTCAGTGATTCACAACGATTCACAGTGATTCACAACAATTCACAACGATTTATGATTCACAGTGATTTACAACGATTTACAGTGATCATGATTCACAGTGATTCACAGTGATTCACAACGATTCACAACAATTCATGATTCACAGTGATTCACAGTGATTCACGATTCAGTTTGAAGAAACTAAGAATAATTTTTTGATCATTAAGAAGTGATGGAATAAGTTTACAGAAGAAGAGGTTGGATAATATAAGTGTTTACTTCTGCCCACTCTTGTGTGTATGAAAACTGTATATTTGTAATGTTTCTGTTAGCTTCTGTTCAATAAAACTTAACAAGAAGAAAGAAAGAAAAAAAGTAATTCAGCTAAAACCTTTCATCACTGTGAATTACATTAAGATGTTTCTAAAATTTATGAATAATATTGGTAACAAAACTAAAGGATTTTGTTAGATTGTCATCTTTCACACATTTATAAAGGAGGACAGTTTCAGATGTTTACATACCGTAATTTTGGTTCGAGCTGCTTGAAGCTTTGTTTCCTGCTGCCACATCTGAGGGCAAATCTTTGCAGACAGAAGTCATCATGGTCTCTGTTATCTTTAAGTTCAGCTGAAAATCAGCTGTAATGTTAGTGGTTCCTTAGTTTCTTTTGTTTTCATCCAGACATCATGTTGTCAGGAGCCAACATTAGCACTGACCGTTAACTGGCTGTAAACCTACAGCAAGCCAGGAGTGACACACAACATGGAAACGCACAGCTTCATTGCACACAACACCCATGGGAGAAAATCGATCTCGTAACTTATGAATCGATTTTTACAAATTTGAACGAGAATCGATCCAGATCGATTAGATTGATTTTTTTTAACCCAGCCCTAATGAAAACTGGAACATAAAGGAAAACCTGACAGGTAGGCTCCAGCTCCCTGGTCCAGAACCAGAACTTAAACCTGTTCTCCGACTCTGCAGGTGCAGTCAGCAGAGTCTGAAGCAAAGATCGTCTCCCAGTACAGTGAACTGGTTAATGAGGCCAAGCAGCAGTTTCAGAGAGAAGTCAGCAGCCTCACGCCAGACATCCAGGCCAACTGGAAAGGCCTCAGTAAGTGTATATAAACACACACACACACACACACACACACACACACACACACACACAC